CMRCGGCTATAGATACCATGGTTGCAATGTATGGTAACCACGGACTAAGCTGATATGTAGTAAGATCATAGAACTAATGGAAGCGACAGACAAACAGCTGATCGATTTGTTTTCATATTGCCGGAGGTTCAACATGTCGAAGTTGGCAGTGGAGGCTCGGCATGATGTTGTAACCGTATTGTAATTTAAAATCTGTAGCATGTTTCGACTGTTATCACTTTTTTCTGTGATATTGAAAATTTAAATTTTTAAAAATTAGGAAATACATTAAGCATTGCGATACGGTTACAACATCATACCGGTCATCCGCTGCCAACATTATCCCGAGCCTCCAGCTCAAGRTCAACATAAATATTTTTCGGTGATCAATGGGATTTTGATAGTTGTCGCTTCTATTATGTTCTATGGTAAGATATAGTATATATATATATAGTATGTAATTTATTTTACTGTGCCAATGTATTTATAAAAAAGTAATGGTAGATGAGCTATAAGCCTACTAGATAGCGCTAGGTGTCCAACATGTACCTATTGAAAACATTTGGTGTCCAGCCCTCTACCACCCTCCAGCCATATCGTTCCAGTCCTGTATATCTTAGTCCGTGATGGTAACCGTGATGATGGCCATGATACACCACGAATTCCGCTAAAAGCGCTAGTAATCTAGAGGTTTTTGATGAAAACATTTAGAACGCTGTTCTTTTCAGCAACACATGGTACGCAACCAAAGTACCAAAGTATCTAAAGCCTAACCTAACCCATTGAATAACACACATAAAAGTAACATATAAAAATACTAAACGCGATTTAGTGTCTAGTTATATATAGGTAAATTCTTTAATAATAGAAAAAAGACCAAGGGGGGATWAATCCCCCTCCCCCTGTAAATACGCCACTGGGTCGGAGCGCACCACCTCACCACCTTACCGTCGTCGTTTAACGTTACCTGTAACCKGTACGTTCGGTTAGGTTAGGCGCGAAGACAGACGATAACATYAATAATAATAATAATAATATTTTATACGTCGAGCTCGTGACGGCAGCTGCGATATGTGTATAGAGCGCAGCACATGATACCTAGACAGAATTTTAATGCAACAAATGGGGTTTTTATTCTTTAACGATGTGCACTATAGACAACTAGCAATATTATAACGAATTAGTTTTAACTAGATTTAAAAGAAAATTCCAAATTTAGATTTTATCAAATACGTACGTCATAGGTACATAAATTAAGATGTATTTTTTGTTTATTACGTGTTTATTACATTATTATATATATTTTTTTAATCGGTTTTTTTTCGTGTGTAGCCAATTGTGCTAACGTAATCAGTATACTATTGTCCATGTCTAAAATCTAAGCATACCAAAAAACAAACAATTTTTTTTTCGATAYAGAACTTTAAAATCTTTGATTATCACTTGGTTTAGAGTAGGAGGGTTGTTATGGATATGGGCAGTGAAATTATCAACAAGTATGATAAACTTTCCACGTTATTTTCGCATGTGTTCATTGTTGAGATGATAGTGTTTGAAAATTTCATGAAATTTTTAGAAGTTATTATATAATATTTTTTTTAAATAAGTTTTAWTTTTACTTTTTACTATAAATTACCTTTATATAATGTTATAGGGAAAATAATCACTATAAGTAACTACTCATTAGTGATGGTATTAATCATCATTAATATTCTTCTACATATTAGAAAAAATTTCAATGTTTCACGTTTTTGTGAAATATTTAATACCTAAAACAGTAATTATCTATATTTAACAGATGTTTATCTTATAAACGATAAATATTATTATCTCATCGCATAATAAAAGCCGAAACAAACTTGTAGAATTCGCAAGAACAAAATTTTGAAAAATGCATTGCATTACGAAATCTTCAGCCAAAAACACTTCATTTTTTATAGATTTTTTTATATTCTTTTGATATAACTATTTTTTTGGCTATGTTTTAAATGAATGAAATATGGCCACTGGAATGTATATTTATTGCAATTTTATTGAAAATAATAATTAATTAACACTTGTCATTAATTATTTTATTCATTTCACCTGCATTGTCACAGACAATTGCAACGTTGGAGTAGAGACTATCGATCCGTATATTTTGGTGTCAATAATTAATTATGATTATAATAAACACTCTATACAATGTTAAGTGTTTATTAGAGAACAAAATTCCTGATGAAGAAATAGTAAAAAAAGAATATTATTATAAATTTACAATTATTTAGAGTTCTGCTACATTTTAAATAACATACCTAATTATCTAGATAAAAAGGCAGTGGTCGAACAGCAGATAATTAAAATTTTATAATTATGTATTGATATAGCTCATTTGTTGTAGAAGGTTGGCGATCACAGCTTTACATGGTATTTTTGTGTTTCCCAGTATTACGAGGACTATATAATATAGTTCAATGGTTCGAATGGGTTCGATGGTTTTGTTGGAATATACCCTATAAAATTAAAAATATCCAAAACAATTGATTRAAAAAGTCTTTTAAATTCATTATTTTTTATATGTTTACATAAAATTATATTATATTTATATGATAATTTTTTTGCATTTTAATTATAAATATAATTTAATCGAATGAAAATTACGCGCACTCGGATCACCAAAAACACGAAGAAACAAACAAGACTAATGTATGATTCACAAAACCCTATTCAAAAACAGATTAGATACTATTTGACCCGATAGGTCTCAGATAAGATAAGAAAATTACTAACCCAACCTAAGCACAATATTACATGTTATAATGCATTTCAAAACCGTACATATCCAATCAAATTGTAAAATACAGAAATATGCAAAATAGATGGCAAAATATTAATAAAACACTGTACTTCGGATTTATTGAATAAAATAAATTAAAACTTGTACTTTACCTAGCTATTTTTCGGAATGTTTAGAAAAAACATGGAAATACATATTATAAATCTGGTTCCTAATTATTATCATTGTAATCTAATATTTTGGTGTTTTGGTATATAATAAGTACACCGAATAAAAACTACCCATTGTGAACGTCGTGACATAATACGAATATCACCCTATAGTTAGCTATATACATTTTATATATATGTATAGAGAGGGAAAGAGGAGCAGTTCCAAACACTGCTATAACAAAATAATAATGTATATACAGTTTAGAGATCGCTCCCCCCCCCAATTACGTGCCTGGATTATAGACACATCTTGTTCAATGTTCATGTATCGTCTTGCTGTTTAAATGCGATGCCGTAGTGATGTGTATACATTTATATACATTATATATATATGTGTATAACATTATATATAACTATTGTTGTTATTTAATGCTTTGGTATTTCGGTGGATACTTTTATTGAAAAAAACTACCCTGCTCGTCCTTCCCTCGTTGTAACGACACGTTGTATGAATATCGTCCAATGGCTTTATACAGGGTGATTGATTTATCAAACAACACTTATTATTTAAAAAGTATTGACTTTTTTCAAAATATTTTTGTASATAGTTTTAAGTTGTTAAAAAACCAACGCTTTTATTAAAAAATTATATTTTTAAATATTTTTATCCTAATCATTTTTTAAGTTTTTTACTTTTTTGAATGACAACATATTATATAGTTTTAATTTCATATTCCAAAGCAGAATATTTTTCTAAGTATTTTGATTCATAAAAATCGAATTTAGCGCTGGTAGTTTATGAGTTATAGGTATTTAAAGTTTAGATTGACAGAGTGGAGTGGTACGGGGTTACCCTGCAAAATGTATGTCCACTACTCCGCTTGTCTAAACTTAAAACACTTATAACTCATAAACTACTCGTCCTAAATTCGATTTTTATGAATCAAAATACTTGGAAAAATATTCTGCTCGGGAATATGAAATTAAAAAACTATGTTGTCATTCAAAAAAGTAAAAAAACATAAAAAATGATAAGGATAAAAAATATTTAAAAATATAATTTTTAATAAAAGCGTTGGTTTTTGAACAACTTAAAACTATGTAAAAAAATATTTTGAAAAAGTTAATACTTTTTTAAATAATAAGTGTTATTTGATAAATCAATCCCCCTGTATATATCTATACATATATAATATATATTATATATGTGGGATGTAGATGTTGAGGGGGGAGGAGRAGAGGAGCAGTACCAAAACGAACAATAATAACAAAATATAATATACGCAGTTAAAAGGAAAAACGACGAAATATCTCTTACCCGAATATTTGTTCCATCGGTGTTCAAGAATTTTGTTTTTGTCGAAGACAAGCAGCTGCAGGTCGTTAGTTTGGTGCATTTCGTGGAACTCGCGTATACTATATATATATATATATATATAAAAACACGTTTTCGAATAAACGTCCCGAAATACAAGGATCGTTTGTCACTGTCAAACTACAACAAAGGGAGGTGAACAAAGATTATCGATTGCCGCCATCGTGGCACCGAAGGAAAAATATCTAAAAAGGGGTCCTATAAACGCTTTATCTCTTCGAAGTAATCGCAGGACCACACGGGGTGCATTTTTAACGCACCCACGCATCGTGACCGAAATTGAATTGTGTAGGTAGCAGGAATTTCAAGTAAAACTCACAAAACACGAACAAAAAATACATTTTTAACGAATGATTCATAATAAATAAATATGTATATAGTGTTTGAATTAAATATTCTTATTTTCATAATAACTATTTAATTAATTAAAACTCATGTTAAAAAAAAAAAATTGTTCAGGTTATACTTCAGATTTAGGTGTCCAAAAATATTGCCTCACGTTTTAGTTTTTTTAAAATTATTATAGAATGATAGGTAT